GGGCGCAGAGGGGCGGGGCCTCCCGCGTACCTGAGACGAGCTGCGCCTGCGTCCTCCGCGACTCCGCGCTTGGCAGCCCCTTCTGGGAAGGTGTAAAATGCCGCCAGGTATGAGGTGTGTTGTGGGAGAAGAAGGGAGACAAGCGGTAGGAGGGGGACAGAGGGGAAGCTATTGGCCTGATGAAACTTCTCTGACTTGGGTAGGCAGGAGCAGTCTTTCTGGCTGGAGATGTTTCTGCACACTTTTCTTAGAAGCGGAGTAGGCATGTTATTACTTGACTTTTAGAGTTTTTATAAAAAGTCTAATTTATAAAGTCTTTGAGGATCAGCCCTGCTCTCTTCGCTTTTGTTGCTTTCTATCTGCTACTGCCTTGCCATCATGGGTGTCTTGGAAAGAATATTAAATGTATCCACCACAGCACCTCGCACCCCGGATTCTGAGGGAATCCCCTCTAACCCTGGCAAAGCGGGGGCCTGGCCCTTTTCTCTGGGCTTCCTTGGTGGAAATCTCAGCACTGCTCGGAAAGTTGTTGAATGAGTTTCCTAGATTGTATGATGAAGAATGGCTCAGCATTTTTTGTTTTGTTTTGACAGAGGGTCTGTCGCCCAGGCTGGAGTGCAGTGGCCCCTCATGGCTCAGTGCAGCCTCCACCTTCAGGTCTGAAGTGATCCTCCCGCCTCAGCCCCTCCCCCAAGCAACTGGGAATACAAGCGCGAGCCAGCATGCCAGGCTAATTTTTTAAATTTTTTGTAGAAATGAGGTCTCATTATGTGGCCCAGGCTAGTCTCGAACTCCTGGACTCACGTGATCCTCTCACCTCTGCCTCCCAAAGTGCTGGGATTACAGGCATTGAGCCACGGTGCCGGCCTGGGTGGTGGGACTGTAAAATCGAAAGAAAGATTCATACTTTTCTTCCTGGAGAGCAGTCTTTCCCAGAGTGAATTCTCTCCATCTCAAGGTCCTAGAGATGCTGGAGTGGGGGTAGGGGTAGATCCCCAGATCACATTAATCTAGGGGAAAGAGACACACAATACTTGTTTTCCTTGAGATTCACAATGCATACTAGCATTTTACAGACCTAAGAACCATGTTTTACTTTCTTTGATCCTGCATCTCCCAAATGTGTTTGACCATAGAACTCTTTTCTTGAGAAATGCCTATTTCCAATCTTGGGCATTAGTGTTTCAACAAATACTTTGAAAACCACTGCTTTCAAGTCCTAGTAAGTTCACCTTTAATAATGTATCACCAATGTTTGCAAAGTTCTGCACTGTTTACACAAAGGTTTCATGAGTCATTTCATTTAATCCTGGAAATTGCAATGTAGCTGTTATTATCTTCATTTTGCTTTTGAAAATATTTAAAGGTTAGACAACCTGTTAGTGGTTGCCCAAACATACAGTCAAGATTTGAATCTGAACTTTGAACTCCAAGGCATTTTAGACTAATATTCTCTCTCTCTCTCTCTCTCTGCTCTCTCTCTCATTTGTTCCTTTTTTTTTTTTTTTTTGGCCAGGCTCTCACTGTTGCCCAGACTGGATTGCAGTGGCACAATCATAGCTCACTGCTGTCTCAAACTCCTGTGCCCCAGCCATCCTCCCACCTCAGCCTCCCAAGTGTGCTTGGACTACAGGCACATGCCACCATGCCTGGCTACATTTTTAAATTTTTTTATAGAGACAGGGTCATGCTTTGCTGCCCAGGCTGATCTGAAACTCCTGGCTTCAAGCAATCCTCGCGCCTCAGCCTCCCAAAGTGCTGGAATTACAGGCATGAGCCACGGTGCCCAGCTTCCCTTGCTACCTAAGGAGAGCACATCCTTGGTTAGAAATCACTGGATTCATGTGTTAGTTGAATCTTCTCAAGGGCAAGACCATAAGTTTACCTATATTTTACTTCCTTACAGCACCTGACTTAGTGCAGGGCACAAAAGTGTCATTGAAATGTACTGAATGAATGAAGGAGGAATGAATGCTCGATAACTACTAATTGAAGTGAGCTGATACTTGGTTCCTTAAATGAACACCTTTAACAACCTCTTTGCTGATGCAGAAGTACCAAGAGCAGGAGCTTCCCTAATTGTTCCCAGTTTTCTTCCCTAGTCCATCTTAAAACACTTTCCTAGAAGAATCCTCTCTATTGACATATACAGTTTTTCTTGTAAAATCATGAAGCCAATTCCTTTGTTTTCCTTGAAATGGGCCTCCTTCCTGTTCTATCTGAGGCAAGGCTACATGAATGGAGGGTATTGTACACCTTTCTTTGTGCTGTTATTTCTAATCTCTTCCCACAAAAGGATTGTCCTCAAAATATTATGAACAGGTTTTTGTTTGTTTTTTAATTTAGCAATTTTATATTATTTGAAGCTGATCTAAGGAGAAAAATAGACTGGTCAATATGGATAACGCGGCTGCTTAGGTATACTGTGTGTATCAATTCTTTCATTTGATAGAGAAAATCACATAATTCCTACTCTAAACCCCTATTCGTTCTTTATTTAATGCAGTTTAGAAGTGCTTTGTGACTCAGCCCAAGCCTAACTCTCCAGCCTTATCTCCCAGTATTTCCATCACACCTTTTTGACCTACTGAAGGAATTGCAGTTCCCTAAACTGTCAAATTTGCACATACCATTCCCTCTACCTTTCTCTTATGAGTATCAACAAGCAAACTCATGTTCATCCAACCAAAATACCACCTCTTCTAGACAATGAAACCCCACAACTCCCATTCCTGATTCAATTAGGTGCCATTTCCCAGCATAACCACCACAATCCATGTGTATGTCTATCATGGTGCCTATGTAATAGCTGCAATTACTGGCTTCTTTTCCCACTTCCCTCTAGATACATTCCAAGTGAGTTACCAATGGGCAGGAATGATGACTTCAACCTCTATTTCCTGACCACACAGCATAGCACTTAACATAGAAGGCATTCAACAATTTGCTGAATAAATGAAAACATAGCTTCAAAAGAGTATGAATTCCTAGAGTGCTTGTGAAATAATTTTACAAATAAATGGTCATGAATATAGTGGGTAGCAGACAGATGTTTGCTTCTCTCAAAATTATTTCCTTCCTATTTTCGGCCTTAGAACATAACAGCAGAAGCCTATACATATTCATTCATTTCATGTATTTGTTCAAAAAATATTTCTGAGTGCCTACCATATAACAGATGCAGTCCTAGGCACTTGCTTCAGAGAGAAAGTGACATTTTAGAAATATCATGGATGCTCACCAAACCTCAATTCTTCTCCCTGGGCATGAAGCTAAACTGCTTTGCCCATTCACTCCCCTTGCATCTAGATAAGGTCATGTGGCCAGTTCTGACCAATGGAATTTGAGCAGAAATAGAGTTTTACTTTTGCATCTAGGCAATTAAGAACAGGTGAGCCTTCACCCAACTCTCTCCCTCTTTCCATTCCATGACAACCTTGGACTAAACCATGGTAACCATTGCTAAAGCTCACAATATGACAAGATGGGAGAAATATCTGTGTCCTTGATTGGCTTCATGGAACAAAGCTCTCACCACTGCCCACTAACTTTGATTGGATGGTGATGTGAGTGAAAAATATACTTTATTGTGTTAAGCCACTAGTATTTGGGTTTTTTTTTTTTCCAACACCTAGCTTTACCTACTCTGATAGGCACTGTCATGGATGATGACATATAGATTACATTAAACATATCAAAAAAATGTTTCTCATGTTATCGGCATTCTACGGGAGACATAGAACATGAAAATTTATCAAGGAGTGTATTAAAGTCATAGAAAATTTAAGTTTGTCCCAAGTAGATAAAGAAAAATCTTTGTGGATACATAGCTCTCTCTCTTTCAGGTGGCCACCTTATGAGAATGCTGACATCTTCACCTGAAAGCAAGCACAGAGTCACCATCATGCCTTCTTCATCATCTCTATCTGTACTTCTCTCTCTCTTTCAAGCACTTCGAAGGGTTTCCCTGAGTGGGCTTCAGGAGATCCAGTGTTACTCAAAGTCTAGTATATATTTGGGAGAAGAGAGAAATAAAAAGGCTAGGCTCTAAAGAGTCTTGAATATCTTACTGAGGAATTTGCCCATTAATCCACAGGATACATGGTCGAATAAGCTAGGAACTATTTGTAGTGAGATGAGTTGCTTTTTTCTTTTTTCATTCCCTCCCTCATCATCTTCTTACCTGGATAACTGTTACCCACCAAACTAAGGTAACAATGGGATAATGCCTGGTCACAGATGCTCCACCAAGAGAACTAATCATGAAAGTCTCATTTCTCAGTGCCCTCCCACAAAGCCCTTCCTCAAAACACCCGTCTGCCTCCTCCAAACCCCACTAATCAATGAAACTTCATAGCACTAAAAGGCTGACACAGTTGTATTAGAGGTCTAAATGAAAAATATTCAGCACCTAGAGCAGGAGGCAATAGCACCAGTGGGGTCAAAGGAAATCTATGAAGGAGGAAACAAAGAGAGAATCCAAAAACAAAAGGTTTTCCACCAATCCCATGATTGGCTCACCCAGGCTGAGCAACTGGTCCAAAGAGGAT